TTGCTCTCCTTTTGCTGGCTCTTGATTTTTATGAAACTTGTAGAAACTTTGTTCGTCTTGGGTTTTTGTTTTTCTGCCAAACTGGGAGAAAATTGGCCAATGAGTAAAAGCAAGAGGTTGTTTGGGGGGTATGGAGAGACAAGCATGCTGCAGGCAGACAGTGAGTGTTCACTACAGCATCAGAAGTGAAGCAAATATTCATCTGGCACATTTCTGTTGCTCTCTGAAGTGCGCAGAGAGTTGGGATATACTTCTGCTCATGGAAGCAGAGCTGTGCCTCCACACAATTTTCAGTGTGGGGCTGCAGGTATGTGTAGTGGGACTCTGGGCTGGAGATGAATGCATCAGCTTTAGAAAAATCTTAGAAAATGCCTGAAAATCTAAAATCTAAATGATGGCAGATTCTCCACAAAGAGAGAGAAAATCACAGCACAGAGGAGAAACCCTCTGACAGGAGGGCTGGTGGAAGAGGTTGACTTTTTCATCCCAGTCATTCAGTATCAGCATTTGCAGCTCTTTTTCTTCTGAGAGACTGATACATATTTTATAGCCTATATCCATAGCTGAATAGCTGAGACTTCAAACAAACAAACCTGCCTTTCCCTGTATAACAGAGCCCTGGCATGGACAGTGTCACAGAGGAGGAGAACTCCAAAAGCCATTCACATGGCATTGTTTCTGCCTTTCCACACCTTTACTTCATATTTCTGTGACTGAGCAAGTCTTACCACAATATGAAGTCTGCTGGCTCAGGCCAGTTTGTTGGATTCACAGAGAAGCTCAGGTTCAGATTCAGAGGAACAAGATGGATTTTGTTAACTTGTGGTGCTCTGACTTATGACCAGGTTTTTACAGAGAAGCTTCTTTTCCTGGGTGTATCCCTTGCACCTTGCTCTGCCAGACTGGGGGAGGTTGCAGTGGTGGTTTAAACACATCATAACCTGTCACAGGAGGGCAATGGAATCAAGCAGATGGTTTTTCCCCCGCACTGTTTAAAACAGAATATAATTATGGGAGAATTTGCAGTAGCCCAATTATGTGCTTTACAAACCTTGCTTTTCCAAATGGAATATACAGAATTTGGTGAGAAGCAAAAGTCTGATGCAGCCTAGACCTGCAAGGTCATCATCAGAAAAAGGGCCAAACCCATATTATTACAGAAACGTGGGACTAAACACAAGGACTGAGTTTATACAGGATTGTTATATCTGACAAGGGTCCATTCCACATCACTGAATCACTTAGATTGGAACAGGCCTTTGAGATCATCGTGTCCAACCTATGACCCAACACCACCTTGCCAAGTACACCCTGACACAGAGAGCCGTGTCCAGTCGCTTTTGGAGCACCTCCAGGGATGCTGACTCCAACATCCCCCTAGGTAGTCTGTTCCAATGTATAATCAGCCTTTCTGTGAAGAAATTCCTCCTGATGTCCAGCCTGAATGTCCCATGACACAGCATGAGGCCATGTCCTCTTGTCCTGTCACTTGGGAGAAGAGGCTGACTCCCAGTTCACTACACCCTCCTTTTTCAGGTAGTTGTAGAGGTCACCCTGATTCTCCTTTTCTCCAGGCTGAATAACCCCAGCTCCCTCAGCTTGTGTTCCAGACCCTTCCCAGCTCCACTGCCCTTCTCTGGACTCACTCCAGCACCTCCATGACTTTCTCGAGTGAGAGGCCCAGAACTGGACACAGCACTCGAGGCGTGGCCGCAGCAGTGCCCAGTGCAGGAGAACAGTCACTGTAGCATTGCTAGTCCAGTATTGAAAGAGTTTCTGTGCTACCAGCAGAGCATTGAGGAGCATTTTATGAAAACATTGTTAAAAACACTTTCACATATACACGTGTGTGTGGTTAGAAGCAATGTGCAAATATCAGCTGAGACAGTAACAACATTCCAAGATGATGAGATTCCAGGCATGACTTCAGTGGAGCAACCCAGAGGAGAGCCAGGTAGGCAGGATCAGTTTGCCATTAAAGGCCTAAACAAATTTAAGGCAGGCTTTTTGAGTATGACTTATGGAAACTGCATTTTATATCACTGAGTCTTTTGTCATTTTGATATAACTACAACGTTTCTTCCCCTCCACTCCTTTAGAAATGTTCTTGGATGGGGGATCATATTGTGACGAGAGGAGTGGAGAGAATATGGTATCCAGTCTGCTTGTAGTGTCAAACAACTATAAGGATGTATGGCTAGTTAATTTGGAATTAGAAGAAATGAGTAAAGGAGAAGGGTTCAAGTTAAGATTAAAAGCTGACTAAAAACTTTTCTGTTCTACCTGTGGGTCACATCTCTTTTAAATGTTCAGGCTTGGGTAAGTAAAATTAGCAGCCAACTCTTTTTTTTATTATTTTTTAATACTTGTTTTCTAATTAGGCAATTTGGTGGTAGAATTGAGCCCCAGACTATATGATTGCAGAAGCTGAAATTACTGACTGTAGATGCCTGCTTTTGAAAAATTGAACCATTACCTATGCAAGCTTTCGGTTTCTTCATCTCTAGAATAGAGATAGTACTTCCCAGTATGGCTTTTGAGACTTTGTTAGTTTGAATGTATTAGCACAAGACAAAAGCTTTAGATTTTCTGGCCAGAAAAAGTGCCATGGAAATACAGTATATTATTGTGATATCCTTTGAGATGTTTCTCTGAAGCCAGTGGCGACTGTCAGGATAATAAAGAAAGCCTCAGAGAAGCTAACGAAATAATGATCCTACTTCCTTTCCAGCTATTCTTTGAAAGGGCAAATGCAATGAGTGAAAATGGTTTAATGAGAAAGAGTCATTAGGGCACCCAGCCTGCATCTTTAGAAGTGTGAAAGCATTTTGGGAGATCTTAAAATTACTCAGAGAACAAACGCAAAGTAGCTCTGTCAGAATATTAAACTGTTATTTGTATTCTCTTTTAAGGCTGATTGAAACCAGTGATCTCTTTCACTGCCTGGTGGCTGGTACATGTGTAGTCACAAAAGTGGCTTGTTCATAGCTGCAGTGCTGTTGGAAGGGCAGGATCAAGGAAGTACCTCTGCTTGCCCTCTGTCTGTTATCCTCTGCTTAGAGCTTGCTGTTACCTGAGGATTCCTGACCTGGTGAATTTGCATTTATAGGAGGTCTTGTGTACTGCAATTAATTGTCCTGGATTATTCAGCGTCATTAATAAAGCTGCTTCAGTTTCGAGATTGGCTGGAGAGGGAAGGCTGCTATTATTTATTTGTTTGTTTGTTTGATATTGATACCTAGTGAGACAAGAGCTTCAGATACTTTGGGTGGGAAAATTCAATGAAAATACAGTACATTGTTGTCATATTCTTTGGGGTGCCTATGTGAAAGCCAGCGGGTGATGCTACTATGCATTAGTACACAGGAGTGGTAAGTGCATATGGAGCTAGTATTAGCTCTATTTTTGTATGAAAGTTAAACACAAAGAAGTTGTTTGAGACTTGAAGCACCTTGACTGGGTGACTGTTCAAAGGAGAAGGTCTGGTTCAAGACATTTAAGGAAAGAAGGACTTTACAAAGTATTTAGGAATTGTCCTTAAAAATGCACTGAAGGAAATGTGTTGGAGCCACATCAGTAACAAAGCAAGCTTTTGACTTCATGATTCCAACTACTTGGAAGCCTGAAACCAGCTGGCTGGTCCTGGTCACCCTTGTGTCACCTTGGTGTCACTCTGGACTCCACAAGCAGCAAGGAAAGCAGCAGAGCTGGGTGCAGGCTCTGGCATTGCTCTGTTTCTCCAGCCACTGCTCATTGTGGTGCCAGAAGTGGCTTGGGCCATTTCACAGAAAAGGAGCAGAGGATTGCTCTCAAGCAGAACCATAAAGCTGCAAATTTTAGATGTTTGTTGAACTGATGAAACTAAATTACTGGAGCTCAGCACTGGGAAAGGCACAGAATTGCTGCATGTTCTCTGATCATCTGTCCAGTAAAAAGCATGATTAGAGAGGAGCACAGGGGCCATGGATTCTCATCCTAATGAAGTTGTAGATATGTCCAGGTATGCTTTTTATGAGGACCTTTCCTTGTTCATCTGCTGAGGGTTGTGTTTGCTCTGTCCCTGTGACAGAAGCTGAGCTGGGTTGGGAGCCAGGCTCTCCCCACTGGGGTGGGGGTGCTTTTCTGGCAGGGTCTGACACCCTTCCCTCCTAAAGTCAGCTGGTGCTGAGCACTCTTCAGGTGTGGGATCCTGTAGCTGTTGGGTTGTTCTGGTAGGAAAAAAATCTTGTTTGTTAGGAAAACAAAGTATGAAAACAGTAGAGAAGCAAGCAGGGCAGTGAGGTGTCAAACATGCCCACAAATGAGGAGGAGGACACTACAGAAAACCCTCTGTGACGAAGCAGCCCTTTTCCCCAGTCACGATGGGTAATACCACCCCCAGATCATCTGCTCCTCTGGGTGGGATTTGCTGGTGTAGGGGCCTGAATCTGTCTCTGTTACTCAGAAAAAATAAATGCCTGGCACAAAGTAGGATGGGGTTGACTGAGGACTCAGGATGCCAGTTTAGGCACATTTTTATCTAGACATGAGTTCAGCTGTTACAATTCTGAGCCGCATTTGGATCCCTATCTTTAAGTCAAAAATCAACCTACCTAAATAAAACTGTTATTGTTGGGTTTAATTTGGATTCTTATGTTGACTTTGTCTGAAAAGAGAATTTGTACTAAGGGTGCTGCTGATATCAGAGTCCTCTTAAGTGTAGATACAATGTGCAATGCCACACTGGCACATGAGGGCAGAGCCTACCCCCAAAATCCACCTGCATGGGAGCACCAGACCTACCCAGATGTGCATGATTAATGAATGCAGAGACAGACACTGCCCCTAAGGACCCAAGTTTTCTTCTCTTTTCTGCTGGCCACCCTTAATGAAACATAAAATCTTGTGTTTTAAGCATAATAATGCTCAAACTGTAACTTGGAGCATCTGTTCACACAGTCATTTCCATCCCCTAAGCGCTAATAATCACATAAACTCTTTTTGTCTCCTCTTTTCTCCAGGTCAACAGACTATGGCACTACCTATGAAAAGCTAAATGACAAAGTAGGCCTGAAGACTGTGCTGAGCTACCTATATGTCAGTCCCACTAACAAGAGGAAGGTAAGGGAGAGCCATTGCACTGGTAGCTATAGAAACAAAGTGACAGCATTCTGAGAGGAATTATGATCCTAAAGTGAAATCTGTTGGCAACTCACAAGAGCTTGAATTTGCTGTGGTGCAAGTCTGTGGAATCCCATAGAACTGACCCTCCTTTACTTGTGATGGTGATGAAGGACATAATTCCCTTGTGAATTTTCTAGAGAAGTAAAAAGGTTGCTTTTATTTGCTTCTGACTGTTGCAACTTTAAAGAACTCACTCAAATATTTCTGGGTTTCTTGCTTACGCTGGCTTTGGCTATTACACATCTCCTTATTATTAGAAATACTGAGTAAAAGGCATTTATTTCTGCATTTGACTCTTTTCCCCCACATTTGGAGGTAAAGATGTAAATGACATTTTCGTTGGTTGCATCATGTAAGGGGGCTGAAAGCAGAATATGCCTGTGAGAGTGGGTGGAAGACCTACAATTTGATTTGGCTGTGTAGGAGAAAAGATGAGGTCACAGCTTTCCAGCCCCCTGCTCATTCTTCTCATGTGATGCAATTAGGGCTGCAGCTGGCTCAAACAAGCACAGCCCAGGAACTGCTACTCAGGGCCTTTTTACTTTAAAATTATTGCCTGTGTTGATTCAGGGGAGCTAGTGGGACAAAGATGCTTTCAGCTACCCACAGAAATCAGTGTGGGAGGGCTGCAGCATGAAGATAATTGCTGACAGTGAAGTTGTGCCTGGCCACTGTAGAGGCCCAGTGCAACATATTTGGCTTGAACACTTCCAAACTGGCCATATCTTGTCTCCATCAAAAGATTTTCAAACTAATAACTTGCTACTTGTACTGTTCTTATTATGGCTGTTGTGCTTGCTATCCCTGGTTAGTGTACAGATGTTTTGGGACTGATGTTTATTCCAGTGTATGCAACCATCAGGCAGATGTAGCTCTGGTTACTAAGTGTGTTTGGATGCACAGAGAAGAGGAAGAATGCAGTGGCCAGAGTTTGGCTTATATTTTTCCTGATGCAGGAGCTGAATTATTGTGACAACTACCTTGACCTCCCCCATTGCCCCCTCTCTGAGCAAAACAGGTTAAGATGTTTTGTAGTGAATTTTCCTTCACTAATATGGCCTTCACACCCATCCTATATCTAATATGGGGGGCACTGAAGAGTTAATTTTTCTTCATTCTGTTTCCAAAGCAACTCTGCCCACCCAAAACCACAGGCAATATGCTCAGTTACAAATCCTACGTCATTGGTGTAAAGACTCCCTCACAAATCAGAGTACAAGGATATATTATTATCTACTAGCAATTTCTCAGGCTACTGAGCTTGACAGATTAGCAGTATTTTTTTTTTTTTAATTAAAACCACCTACATTTCATCATATAGTGGCATATAGGCCTATCTTTACCTGCTGTTTATTTATTTGAGATTAAAAATTTAAAAGAAATTTTTGGTTTTCTGTCTCAAGGAAATGGTTTTTGGACATATCTGTGCCCTTATCCCTTCTGAAAAATCTTATGAAATGTAGAGACAAGCTGTAAGGAAAGCTGACAGGAAGCCAGCTTCAGTGCTGGTTGCTGTGGGGACAACTTGCTTCCATTCTTTCTACCTCTGCTAAGTATATGAGCATTGTTACTGTGCGTGCTTAAACAGCTGGTCTGTCTGAACTTTTCTTTGTTAACCATCAAAGCAATTCCAGACATTTGTGTAGCACTTGAGAAATGTCTGAACAAGGTGTCACTGGACCAGAACATCTGAAATTTGTCAAATTCAGGTCTGGGTTTATTGTCCACTCACTCCTCTTACAGATTCTTGAGGTTATGCGCTGCAAAAAATGCACTAGGGTTGTAGTCTTCTCCCAGTCTCTCTGGGTGAATATTATTCCTGTGGCATGGGGAGCAAGCAGAATGATTTGGCTGAGCTCCTGAGGACAGCTGCCAATACTGAATCACAGAGCAATGGGTGGCTCCCAGCAGAAAAAGCCCAGGTCCCTTGTGGAAGTGCTGCCTGTGGGACATGATGCAGGGGTCTCCTGTGAGCTGCAGATCTTTGCTTGAGCAGTGAGTGGGGAGGGAGGGACCAGCTCTGTGTCACACATGAGCCACCTCTCCAGGCAAGGTGTTTTCTCCTGGCACTCCCTCCCAGGCACTGACTGGATCCTGGTGTCCATTTCTGATGGGTTTGCACATTGCTGCTGGCCCTGTCTACTCATTAGTGCTTAGAGGATTAGCGCTTACTTGGAGGAGGAGAAAAGCTTTCCATACATTCATTCCTAATTGATTTACTAGTGAGAAGGATAATTACTTCTCAGCTACCCTGCAGAACTACAGTGGGAATTACCTGTCAGATTTCTTTGAAGACCCAAAATGCCTATTTTCAGCTGTTAAATAGGAATTGTGTTCAGCCAAATGCTAGTTATATAAACATAATTTACCTGAATTGTGGCATAACCCTGGAGTCAATTATGAGGTACGGGAATTTAAAAGCTGGCATCTTGCTTTCTTCTTCTAAAAGAAAAGCCTTTTGTTTCTGATTTTTTTTTTTTAACATTGGTGGGAGTATTTTAATTTTTTGGCAACCTGTGCTTTATTTCTTGGAGGTCAGTTTTAGTCTATAGCTGTTTCTGGCTTTTTACATGTTGCTGCTGGGTGATATCCACCCCACCCTCCTCATGCACAGAGTTAACCAAGGCACAGAGCAAAATCTGAGCTGAATTGGCTTTGGCTGTGGTGCAGATCTGGGTCCCAGAGCTCCTGTCTGCTCCAGGTGCCCCCCAGCCTGCTGATGGCTGCTCTTGGAGCTGAGATGGGTTGTGTCTGTTTCCTAGAAATCAGAGAAGGTACTGTGAAAATGCACTTTGCCCTTGTGTAATATGACATTTGCAGCTATATTAAATCAATATAACAGCATGCAGATACCAAAGGAAGCTGCTGGGAATTTTTTCCCAGCTGTGATACATGAGAGGTATCATTCCTCATGTCAGGGCCAGCTTGGTGATGTGAGACCACCTTGGGTTCCCACAGGGGAACAGCCACACGTTCTGCAGCCCACTGTGGATCTGCAGGCTCTGGCTGCACGGTAGCCAAAACATTCCCTGCTGTGAGCCAGGACTGCTTCATCTTCCCGAGGAGCTGTCACACTGCCAGCTCCCTTCCCCTAGGAACCAACAAGTTCAGGGTTTCACAAGGCTTTGCAAGTGTATGGAAAGCCTCTGCTGCTGGGGTTCAGACTGCCAGACTTGGATCTGCTCTCCTGCGGGTGGCTGGGCTGTTTCTCCTCTCGCCAGCACTTGTGTTTGCATCAGGAAAACCTGCCCTGAGCTCCCCTTACTGCTGGGAAACTCTAGCTGATCTTCAGACAGCTCTGAAGTCCTGGGGAATGGATTTTTTGAGCTCTGTTTCGGGCTCTGGTGAGAAGCCAAGTGCCTGCAGTTTGACACTTCCAAAGCCATGAAGATGCTCCGGTAGGCAGAGTATTCCAGGGCACATCTTCCCCTTCAGCGCAGGGTGCTGGCCCGAGGGAAAGGCCACGCGTGCAGCATCTGCTTCGTCCAGTTGCCAGACAGGTTGCAACAAGCAGGCAACTTGTGGTAAACTTCCGACTGGGGAAATTGTCATATTTGTTTAGCAGCACCCCTTCCTTAAGGATGAATGGGATTTAACAGCAGATGTTCGAGTGCTCTGAAAAGCTGAAATTAACAAAATGCTTAGCTTTGGCTTTTCTGCCCTGTAGCCCGTTGGCTGTTTTTGGGGATATGACAAAAAGCTGCTTACTCCCTGCTGGGCAGAGATCTCAGTTCCCTGCTGACCTTTAATTTAAAGCTGTGTTTTGGGCGTTAGTTACATTTTACTAGATGCAGATTTTCACAGTGGTCTGGGATTTAAAAGTGTTTATTTCTTCCAAAACACTAAGGGAAAAATCTCTTCTATTTTAATGGGAACATTTCTCTTGACTTTAAATTCCCAGTTTCTTTTTATCCCAATTCTCTTCTTTCTTTATGGTTGCTGAAAAAATTCTGTTAGGAAATGGAATAATTTCCACAAAAAGTTAAGCTTGTGATTCTTTGCTTAACTGGCTGCACTTCAAAATGTCACTGCTTGGAGATTAAGTGCTGTGATTCCGTATTTTCTAGTATGAGTTGGTCTGCTGGGTAAGATTCCCTATTGTGAGAACATTTGCTTTATTCTTGGTTGTCAATAACAGGGCTCATTTTACAATTGATGCCTCACAGAGGGATGTAAAGCCCTTCCAAAGGGGTGCAGAATGAAGATGGGAATTGAAGTCCCACATATCTGAAGCACTGCTCCTTTTAGGCACAGAGGTGCCACTTGGAATCTCAAGGAATTCTTGAACCGTAGATTTTAGGTATTACTTTTTCCTGTGAAATACTCTGTAAAGAGTGCTTTTTCTTGGTGAAGATGTTGTTTAGTTGAAAACCCAGTTCTCACTAAGAAACTTTTATCTCTACCCTTGGGAATACGGTGGAGGTGGAGATGATGGAGTTAAAAAGAACGCAAAAGAAAGAGAGGAAAAAGGAAGAGAATAACAACTCTGACAAACCAACCCCATTTTCCTGTATAGAGTATTGCTCAGATAAGATGTGGATAAACTGGACGCCCTGATTGTGTTTAAGATCTGAGGTGACAGTTCTGATGTCTTAGAAATACCTTGCTTTGCAATTCAGTTGGCTCCAGTTGTTTTTAGCTTCTCCCCTGAGTTATTACAATCATTGTTGCAGGTGATGACTTGAAGAATTAAAAGGTCTGTAGCCTTTTATGCTGACTGTCTGAACAGAAGCATCACCCAGGTGCAGTGAATGAAATAAGGACTCCTCCTATTTTTTTTTCTTATATCAGAATTGAAGCATTTTAGGTTTTATGTAAAGGTAGACCTCCCAGCTAAGCTATTTGAACAGTAGCTGCAAACAGAATAAAGCAGAAATAGTTATGGTGCTCAGTTAAAGAGCTTTGGGAAAATGGTTTTTCAGAGTAGTTTCTTAGTT